ACGCACCACCTTGTGTCTGCTGTTGGCGCTCTCGGCACCAAATTGCCCCATCCCCCCGACTCGCAACTCCCCATCACCTTGGCTCTGTTGCGGGGTCACACTCGGTGAGACTCCACATAAAGATTCTCGAAAAGGACTCAAGATAAGGTGCTCCGTATTCGCTTGAAGTCACGTAAAGTTCGTTTTGGATACATGCGCTTAACCTTCCACAATGAAAGTTCGACTCCGAACCAGTTTGGAGAGCTGAACGGAGTTCAAAATAACTCACAAACACCTTCTTATTCTTAGCTCTTTCGGTAAAGTCACGTTGAAGGGAAACAATAAAATAATAAAATATATATAAAACAATAAAAAAACTCTCACGACGTTTCGACCATAACACAAACACCTGATGACGACCGTTTGTGTTATGGTCGAAACGTCGTGAGAGTTTTTTTTTTATTTATATATATTTTATTATTTTATTGTTTCCCTTCAACGTGACTTTACCGAAAGAGCTAAGAATATGAATTATTGCAGTCACGAAAGCTTTAAATCAAAATTTAAACACCTTGTGAAAGACCCAAAGTAGAAGATCCCTGGGTTTGATTTCCACGAAGCTCATGGTCCACCCTAAACTACATCCACTGCACAAACCATGGCAGTAGATGGGGATACCTGATGCACAGTAGTGGTGCGACTGTGGTCATCCAGAACAGAGACCGTACAACGTATAACGACGCAATGCCAAGATCCACAAATACGAAGGAGACATCACAGCGATGATGATGATACACTACCACTCCGCTGTTCCTGACGCGGTTGTCTGGGCTTGACTACCTGCATGTGAAATTGTAGTCGTTGCTCTGCGTGTACATCAGCCATACAAAATAAAATATAAGGTTATCTCCCTATACGACTCTAAGACTCTCCATCAGACTCTCAGTGGGACTCTCCTCAATGAGATTCGCAATGAGGAGAGCCTCCACTGCATGGGGATTTCTGACAAATTGAGAGGCCGCGTGCAGCAGCGCAAACGCTCGCGTGCTGCCGGCCCGGAGCTGACGTCCCCACCACGTGGGTAGAGCGGCATCACGCAGCGGCAGGGCAGAGATCGCGCCGGAGGTCACCGACTCCTCGCCTTGACCGAGAGCGCCATCGCGCGTCGCCATGGGGAAGAGCCCGAGCCGAAGCGCCCGACCGGGAAACACGGGGGATCGGCGGACCCAGGGAAAGGAGAAAGGAAGGGCCCAAAGCGGGTCTCCAGGATCAGGAGGTCACGGTGCCTCCGGCCCACGGTGGCAACTCACGGCACATCCTTGACCCTGGTAATGAATGCGGATGATGGTGATGATGACGAGAAAGAATGGTGATGAGGATTGTGGAATGGTAATGATGATAGTAGTCGTGAGGATGATTTGTGGCAATTAATGTGGGCAGCATAGACGTGGGAGCACAGTACAGTACAATATTTCCCATTAAGCCCGCACCTGCCAAATCCCAGTGGCTCCGGACCCCCGCGCGCATTCTGCTCGAACTCACGCAAGGGGCTTTAACGCGCCGTGAATAATTGAGCAGATCACGGCGGACTGAGCGCAGCGGAGACGACCGATCGATGGCCACGGCCTCGTGGCGACCCCGTGGAGCCGCCTCGCCGCTCGGCCGGCGCGCTCCGCAACAAGCGGCGCCTGGGGATGGCGGCTGTGGTGGTGCTGGATTGGTGAGGGGCGGGGGCGATAGAGACAGGGAGACGGGGAGCGGGGGGGGAAGGGAGGCCCCCGAATAAATGATGCAGCACCGGGGATTCCACGTCACTCTCCGGGAGATCCTGAGACGACCCCGCCGTGGTCTCGGGCCCGTCCACGCGATCCTCGGTGGTTGTCAACTTTCTCGATTTACCCAGAATCGTTCTTTTTTTTTTGTGCGTCAGCTGTTCTGGGAAGTCTGCAAATCTTCTGGGGACAATTCAAATTCCCGTTTATTGACCGTTGCGCAATAATAACAAGGGTAACAACGCGACATTCAAGGCCGCGTCGTCCCGGATACTTCTCCCCTCTATTTCCCGTGGGATGCGGCGGCGTTTTATACCTCGCGAGAGGCGCGGCCGCCTTTGCTGCTTCCTCGGCGGGGTCCGCGCGGCGCGCGTCTCCTCGGAGTTGGGGGGGGGGGCGGTGGGCCCTGGGGTGCCGTGAAGCGCCCGTCGTCGCGCGCGCCGCAAGTGACGGCGGTTCCACTCCACCCCACCTCGTCAGGGCGGCGGAGACGACTCTAATCGACTCGCGCCTCGTTCACGAGGAAGGCGTGCGCGTGTGCACCGCGGGTGAACGAGTTCACGCGCCGCGCGAGGTGCGGTCCCCGCCTCCCCGGAGCGCGGCGCGAGCCACGGGGCGGACCCTGAGAGGCAGAGGCAGTGGCCGCGTTGCGCAACGCGTTCCCCATACATTGCGGTGCATCCGACGGGAATTTAAGAAACATTTTTTACAAGGAATCGGTACCGCCGAACCGATTTAGTCACATGGCCAATTCATGGCTTGATTAATTGGCCGTGTATCACGTGGACCGTCGTCACGTAATTCACTATCAATTGGCCACAGAGAGAAACTGGATCCAGAATCACAGACGAGTGAAATATCTCGTCTGGGCTCATCGACTACCGGTTGAAAAACAAATGAAGCCGCGTCACGCGCTGCACGTGCCTGATGATCAGGCGATTGACTAAACCCGTCCCAGATTCATATTTAAGATCCGTCTTGGTACGTCACGTGGCATGCGCATTCGCACAGGACCCAAATATTAAAGAGCGCGTCCTTGCCGAGCAGGCTTGTGGAGGCTTTCATCCAGCAGTGGAGTGGCCATGGCTGAAGAAAAAGATGATTGTTATTATTCACGTGCTTGTACCTTGGCCCGCGCTCTCTGCCCACCGCGTCTCGGCGCCACGGTTTATATCTTGTTGATGGCAGCAGCAGCAGCGCTGTGGTTCAAGAGCTGAATGGCCAATGTCGAGGTCAGCTGCTCGCCACGACGAAAGGGCTTCAGCAGAGAGAGAGCGAGAGAGCGTTCGTGTCGTTTGCTCCTCCTCCTCAGTTCAAAGAGGGCAACTTTGGCTTGTCTCTTAAATGTTCCATTTATGAAAGAGATGCGCGTATGGACATGCTGCTGATGTCCTCCTGCGGTCGATGGTTCCACCACCGGTGTCTTCGAAGAGGAATGCCGGGAGGTGCGATGATGTGTGGGTCTCGAAGGAGCTGTTTATTCTGCACGCACGCGTTGTACCACTATGTTCCCGAGCGTTCTTCACGGTTCCGTGTCACGGACCGAGCCGTGTTCCCTCGTGCCGCCTATCGCGTGTCACGTCCCACCGCGGAGGGGATTCACTCCACACGTGCTCGCGATGTGCGAATCCCCACCTCGCCGCTATAAGCCTGGAACTCCGGTTTGACATAAATCACGCATTTGTAGATGTATCAATGGGAATATCTGGATAAAGAGATGCGTTACAAGATCGCGGACAGCCTCTATGTAAGCAGAAACTCACTGAGCATGAAAGAAGCTACGACTGAGTTGAGGGTTCTCACGCCCTTTCGGTCGTGGGGGTTGTTTGACCATACTTCACCACGCTGGTCAAAACGGTTTCGTGAATTGCCGGACCCAACAGCCCGATCGGATAGCACTCGCCACAGATTTTATCCGTGGTCGGAAATCGAACTCAGGGTCGCCGGGTTCGTTACGTAGCCCGGCGTGCAAACCGATGCACCACCGCGTCCCACACTAAAGTGGATTGTGTCGATTCAAACTTTCGTTGTCCAAGTCAACGAGCGCCGTGGACGCCGAGGCGTCTAATTGATGCTCTGGCGCTGAGGCTGCTCCGCTGCGGTTATAAAACGAGGGCCAGGCAGCGCCGCCACAAAGTGTGAACGTCAGCAGTGGTGAGACAAAGACGACCGGGATTGGTGCTGGCCCCATCACCCTAATGGGTGCTCGCTAACAGCACTTTGCTAACTCTGCCCGGGCTAAGAGGGCACGCGATGATAAACAGCGACGACTTCAGAGCCCGGCAGGTTGTTTCCACGCGGGCCTTAATGGGCACAGTCCAAATATAATCCTCACATCACGATCATCCTCATCCCACACGCGTGGCTCTCACGCCCAATGAATAATGAATCGCGAAGCTACGCGTGGGGGCTGTGAGCGCAGCGCCTCGAGACGTCAATCTCTCGAGAGCTCAACTCTGCAAAGGCGCCCCGAGTAGCCTGCGCAGACTGGTGGGGCAAGTGCTGAGTCCAGTCACAGAGCGTGCATCGATTAAGGTCGGTGCGGTGCACGAGGTAGTGTGGCCTGAACCACGCGCGTCTGCCTTTGTCTCCCCAATGTTGAGGATATCTGATGATTACACACCACACTGATTTCAGGCCGAGTCGTCCTAGAAGAAGTGCAGAACCAGGTTCGTATATTCGCCACTGATGTTCACCGTGGCCGGAGCGCAGTGTGCTAACCACCGCGCCACCGCTCCCAAGAAACACGACAACCCGCCAGGAGTTGTCTCGGGACTCCGTCATGACGTCACCACGCTCGCGGTCCTCACCGGCACCTCCCGATTATTTATTTATTATTATTATTATTACTACTACCACTCCGCTTGTTCACCCAGGCAAGCCTCACCGAGCCCAGATACTCGAGGTACGTTTTGTCCATTTCCGTTCTAATGAGTGTGTTGCTTGACGGATGACATCGTAGGAGCTGTAGAAAGCCACAGCCACCCACGAGGAGATGCCACTCAAAAGATGTCCAAAGAAGGGTTCACCAACCGATTTGCTGACATTCCCTTCAGAGTTTAACTTCTCTTTAACAATGCCCATCAAGTGGCCTCATCGCCTTATATCTCCCCCACCCGTCTAAACGAGGTTACACGACTACAGAGCTGGCTTCTTGTCCTCACAACAACGAAGTACAACCACAACAACATCCACGACCACCACTCGCCGTGAAACGCAGAGAATGAGAATCAGTCAAGCCTGGTCCCATGATGGGCTCCGCGAGGAGTGGGTTTATTTCGCGCGGAGACACGGAAACACGCGGCAGACACGCGGGGGACACGCGGGGGACACGCGGGGGACACGCGGCGAACACGCGGGGTACATGGGAGAGACACGGAGAGGCGGGGCGCCGCGCCCTCTGCCGGAGGCACGGGAAACAGCGGCGAGGCGAGGAGACGCGGGCGGAGCCGGAGGCCGGGGTGGGCTCGGGGCCACAGACGGGATCGGGATTAAGGGTGGGATCAGAGTTAGGGTTGAGGTCAAGGCCAGCATTCGGGGATAGGGTCGGGGTCAGGACTGGGGTCAGAGTTGAGGTTGGGATTGGAGTCAGAAGTGGAGATGCGATTATTGAGGGGCATCAGGCCAGGTAAATGGGTGGGATCAGAGTCAGAGAGACACCCCGGTCACGATCCTGCCCCTTCACGGCCATGCCGTAACGAGGCCAACGTCGTCGCGTGCGCCTCCCTCCACACCGCGTGCGTCTCCCCGCCTCCGTTTCATCGCCAACTTCACATCTCCACCTAACGGCCAAAACGCCGCAGTGCGCGCAGTCCACGGCGGAGCCGTCGGTGCATTTTCGGCAACAAGCGGACGAGAGGTGAACGTTCGCCGAGATGCGGCCCCAAAGTCTCCCCAGCGTAAGCCGCCCCCTGGCACCGTCGCCAAGCCCCGCGCGGGGGCGCGCGACATCCGTCACGACGATAACTTAGCAAAGCGAGCGTGAGTCGGTGCAGGATATACAACCCAGCGAGCAGCGCGGGCAGCACCACCGCCCAAACGCAGCCCGTGCGCATATACGTGTCAACGTGAGCTATGCACACACATTTATATATACACACACACACGCACACGGAGTGTGACACCCCTTGCAAGCGCCGTGTGCACGTGCGTTAAGACACCGTGAAACCGCAACTCCGCTCACCGAGATCCTGGCGTCACCGAGGGCCCCACGGGGTCATCGAGTGAGAGGTCAGGATGCCCCTCGCGGCCGCTCGCTTGGCGCAAGAGGCGCGGGGTGGAGAGACTGTGGGTGGCGCGAGGGCTCTAGTGGTCGCCGGAGGCCCCACGGCCAGGAACCGGAACCCCAAAAACCCTCCCCGAGTGGCATCGCCCATCCAGGAATAAAGTCACGGTGGCGTCCGATTGCTCGCTCACGGCCAACTGGCGACAGCAGCAGCAGCTGTAGGAGGCAGCGGTGCCGGAGATGTGCTGCCAGCTCCTTCATGCGGCCGGGACGAGGAGCGGCTCGCAAAGTGTAACACCACTTTTGGGTGAGAACGACGATCGTAGCATCATACCAAGCATATGGCTGCGTTTACGCACAACAACAACAACAACACCACTGCGGTACCGTAACTAGGATGGCTTTTGGCTTCAGTGCTTTGGCTTAAGAGTGACCTGGCTTAGAGTGACTTGGAGGTAGCGGGGGGGTGGGGGGCACCAGCGGCGGGGGCCGTGGCGGCGGTGGTGGCGGCGCCCCTTGCCGCCTGCACCTTCTTGAGGTGCTGGCAGAGCCACTGCACGTAGGTGAACACGCACTTGGGGTCGGGTCGCGGCCCCATCCTCAGCATGTCGTCCACCTCCAGCAGGGGGTCACACGCCGCCAGCTTCCTGGGGAGGGGAAGGGAGGTGCGACGGGCCAAGGGGAGGGGGGGAGATGGGGGGGGAAGAGCGGAAGGGGAGGGAGGAGCGGGTAGGCACGGAGAGAGACGGGGGGAGGGGAGCGAGGGGGATCAGCATTGCTGGAAAGCCGCCCTGAGCCGTGGCTCGCACGCTGACGAGAGCACTTCCGACTGCCAGACATTGGGGTCGTGATTTAATGCCCTTAATTTGCGCTATCCCAAGCTGCGCCCCCGCGGCAGGCGGTGGCGGGGCCCGGCCCCGCCGGGTCCCGGGAGACGCTGTGACAGCGTCACCACGGAGGGCGGGTGGCCCGGGCCGCGGGGGACCGCACGACGAGGCGACGCGTCGCGAGTCGCGGCGGGAGCCAACGCGACCTGACAAACGGCCCCCCCCTAACTCGCGCCCCTCCGACTCGACCCCAAGCAGAAACGTCTGCTGGTAACGAGCGGGGGGGGGGGGGGGGAGTTGAAGAAGGAGGCCGCCGCTTACAAATCGGCTCGAGATGGATGAGACGGGACGTGGGCACAGGGACCGGGTCCAAAGCCATCACCGTGATCTGGCCGCACCTCCCTCTCGTTCTGACCCTGGCCCTGCCCACTGTTCGTGTAGCCCCACCCACTACTCGAGTTGCTCCGCCCACTGCTCGAAGCCAAGTCGAGCGTGAAGCCAGAACAATTTAAACTGGTAACAAAAAAAAACGATTTTCACAACGATTCGGGGGCAGAGGGGGTGGGGTGGAATCTGGGACCGTCTCAGCCAAACCAGGACGTTTGGCCCATCCGGGAAAAATCCAGGGACAATATTCGCCTCTGTCAGGGCTGAAAGGGACCCTCCCCCCACCTCCCCTTTTGACGTCTCGCTGTGGATTGAGCCTGGCTGCCGATGGCGTAGGGGGTTCCTGTGCGAGGGCTTGGAGGCTCCAGCCGCGTGAGGGAGGCGCGAGTTGATTCAACTACTGATGCATTTTCGTCTCGTTTTCACCATCTCATTCGCATTGCTTCAAATCGGAAGGTTTGTTCCCAAGCGTTGGCCTAAACGCGTCTCACTCACACGTTTCTAGATTCGCGGAAACCGGCGAACCGTCGTCTCGTGGGCAGCGATTGCGGCGCCATGGCCGGCAGCGGAGGAGCCGGCGGTCGGGGTTAGAGACAAAGAACCGTGACGCAAGAGACCAAGCGAGGGGGCAGCTTCTTCCTCCGGCTGGCGAGGGGCGCCACTCACGGCCGTGCGCGGTGGGCGAGGGGCGCCCGTTTTGCGCGCTCGCCGTCCTCACCGTGTGCGCGCACGCGTGCGTGGGCGCGCGTGCCCGCCCGCTAGGAGCGGCTCTTGGTCTTGACGAGGCCCTTTTCGACGAGCGAGCGGTACAGCTCCTGCACGTACGTGTACACGCACTTCCAGTCGGGCTCGCGCAGCAGCACCATATCCTCCGTGTCCAGCAGCTGAGGGCAGCCGACCTGCTTCCTGCTCCGGGCAGCGCCCAGATGCGGTGCCGCGCGGGGTGGCGCGCACGCAGGAGCAGCATGTGCAGGCACGCGCGAGCGCGACACGCAACACGTGCAGCACGCAAAACACACACATGCAGCACGCAAAACACACACGTGCAGCACGCAAAACGTGCAACACAAATGGAAACACACACAGTGCAACATATTAGTAAGACACGCGCAACACACCCCCGCACCCCAAACATAGGGCCCATCGAGAAAACACGCGTAACATGCACACACAAATGCAGTTCATTAGTAGTAAACGCATGCAACACACGCCTGCAAATACACGAGCGCGCGGAACCACAGGCGGCACGCAGACGCGCGGCGAGACGGACGCACGCGCTCAACCCTGCGGCCACGCACGCGCACACATACGCACGAGTCGCTTCCATTCGGTCGCACAGAGGGAAGACTCCGATCCAAAGTGAAACTTAATCCGCGGCAATTAAAAATTAACCCTGGCGGGGGGTGACCCCGCCGTACACCGCCCCCCCCCCCCCCCCCCGAGGGTTCCTCCTCGGAAGCGTCAAGCGCAATATGTCCCACCCGCCCCCCGCTGCCCCCCATCGCAGAGGACGTAGGGGGGCTGCGACGGCAGTGATGGTGAGGAGGGGGGTGGGCGTACTCGCTTGGTAATTTAGCGCTGTTCCAGCAACGGGGCAGACGCAGCACAAGGTGGCGCTCGTCCCCGTGAGCACGGAGTCGTGGTCGGGTCCTTGATTGAACCTTTAATGAAAGCCGTTGAAGGCAACCTGCAGCTTTGTCTCTTTTGCAAGGGCGGCCACCAGGACGGGCGAAGGGCCCAGGGCAGCTGAGGACGTAGGGCACGGGAGCTTGCGACATTCACGCAGTACCCTCCTGAAAAGGAGTCTCGGGACTCGGCGTGGCTCTCCTCTGCGAGCTCTGCCACGAGTCCCAGTGGCCGGGCCCCGACACGCGGCGTGACCGCGGCTCCGACTCCTCTGTCTGCTCTTCCTTTTACAGCCACGTTTGAGCCATGTTTGAGCCGTGTTTGTGAGCCTTGACGTGCGTCCCTGAGCGTGCGTGCCCGTGCGTGCGTGCCCATGAGCGCGTGCCCGTGCGTGCGCGAGCCTCACTCGGCGGTGGTGAAGGCGAGGTCGAAGTTGTGCCTGCGGTTGCGCGGTTCCAGCTCGGAGAAGTCGAAGGCCTCCGGGAAGAAGTGGTGGATGAGGGCGCAGAAGGCAAGCCCGTCGCTCCAGCTCGTCGAGAAGTTCTGGATGTCCACGTGCTTCACCACGCAGGGCGGGGGGACAGGGTTGCACACACACACACACACGGGACACGTGGCTTCGTCTGTTCGGTGCGTACAGGGAGTCCGTCAACCCAGAACACCCGGGTCTGTCCCGCGACCTCCTCCTGCCGATGGCGAGCCTTCCGCACTTTATGCGATGGCCTTGAAGCGTGTCTAGCCTGGCACGAGCGCCGTCACTCTGCGGCTATCGTTGTCTTTGCGCGCGTGCAGCACTGGGTGCGTGCACGGTGCCGTGATGGCGCCGTGCCGTCTGCGCCGGCGCCCCACCTCGTATCCGCGAGTCTTGGCACGGCACCACTCCAGCAGCATCTGCTTGATGGTCGTGGCCCCAAAGCTCCCGGCCCTCTGCAGCTTGACCGGCGACGCCGTCTTCTGCTGCCTGCAGGCCCGACAAAGCGCACGCACACACGCGCGACTCAGCGGTCGCTCAGAACGAACGCGATCCGGGCGGCGGGGTCGCGTTGGGCGGCACCGTTCGAGTCACTCCATGCTGGGGGCGCAGGTTCCTTCCGGCGCCGCTAGGAGCAGCAAGTGCGACGGGCGACAACCGGCCATCACGAATTCTTTGATAGGTGATTTGTTTAACACTCTGGTAACTGTAGAGCCCTCTACTGGCTGGAGGGGTCACGTGATATTACAGACATCATCATGATCAGCCACGATCAATTCACTACTGGATGAAGGCCTCCCAAAGCTGTCACCCATCAGCACAAGCCAATTCCAGAATCGATCGTTCCGTCGTCTCGGGCATGTTCCCTCGACGTTTTTGTACCACACACACGCGACATCAAAAGACATCGATTCTTACGCACGGGATTTGACGCACGTTTCGGATGGAGCGATCAGAAATTCCATCTCCACGCTGGACGAAGACGCCCCCTGGTGGTGCAGGAGCGTGGCGCTCGCACGCCGAGCCGGCGCTGCTCTGCGAATCGCCGCGATTCAATTCTAGCGCCCATTATTTTGACGCCGACGTTGTACCGACCCATCTCATTCGCGCCATCTCGCTCACCCGCCGCTCTGTCGCTCCAGTCGCTCCACGATGGCTCGGCGGCTCGGAGCCTGCGACCCCCTGGATCCGTGCGACCCCGGGAGACCCCGCGGCGTGGCCTCGCGGCTCCGGATTCCGGCGTGGGCCACCGGCGACGAGTCCTCGCGGTCGAAGATGCTGACGACAGCGGAACGGGCGGCACTCAAGTCGACCCCTCCTTGCCTCGCGCTGTCCTAGCTCGCCCGACCTCCACCCCTGAGAGAACCAGCTCCCGCCCAGCTACAATTCAGTGCCTCGACCAGGCTGCTGGCGGTCTTTTCACGAGCTTAAGTCAAAGTGTGGGAGCATCCAGCCTCCAGCACCAACCCCGAGTGGTCCCTCCTGGCAGAGACTCCACACTGAGCCCCCTTCCTATCCCCGAGTCTCGACAGGAGCGGTCAATCAGACGCAGCCACGAGCCCCCTCGGCCTCCTCCTCCACCCACGAGGTGCTCCAGCTCAGACAGCCCATTGGGCGGGGTCAGACCGATGGGTAGCCCAACGTGGCTACCTGCATTCCCCTATCACGCCAGAAGCAAAATCCCCATCTTAGTTTCCTGCAGTAGCTTGTACAGCTAGACCCGCACAGGTGAATCATTAACATTGACGATGAAGAGCGACCGACTGTCAAAACCCAGACAGGGCCTAGGGCTGTGCCCCCCTCACCACCCCCCTCGCCCACCCCCCCCCCCACCGTCCTCGTCACTCACCTCCCCACGCGGGGCCCGGAGCTGGGCGGGGTGGGCTGGGTGCGCGCCGTCTGGCCCGTCGGTGGCGTCCGTGCGGTCTGCACCGTTGCGGCGCCGTCTGTTCCGCGTCAAAGGCGAGGACAACATAGAGCACGCAGAGTCGTCATGGCGGGCAGCGCTCAGCTCACTCTACTCCCCTTCACGCACTCCCCTACCTCTCCCCTCCCATCTCACTCTACTCCCCTCTATGTGCTCCCCTACCTCTCCCCTCCCATCTCACTCTACTCCACCTCCATGCACTCCCCTACCTCTCCCCTCCCATCTCACTCTACTCCCCTCCATGTGCTCCCCTACCTCTCCCATCTCACTCTACTCCCCTCCACGCACTCTCCTACCTCTCCCTCCCATCTCACTCTACTCCCCTCCATGCACTCCCCTGCCTTTCTCTCCCATCTCAATCTACTTCTCTCCGCGCACTCCCTTACCTCTCCCTCCCATCTCACTCTACTCCCCTCCACGCACTCTCCTACCTCTCCCTCCCATCTCACTCTACTCCCCTCCATGTGCTCCCCTACCTCTCCCCTCCCATCTCACTCTACTCCCCTCCATGCACTCCCCTGCCTTTCTCTCCCATCTCAATCTACTTCTCTCCGCGCACTCCCTTACCTCTCCCTCCCATCTCACTCTACTCCCCTCCACGCACTCTCCTACCTCTCCCCTCCCATCTCACGGCACAGCTGTCACAGCGAGCGTCTCGAGCGGGTGCCGGTGGCGTTGGCGCTGTGGACGTACTCAGGGCGGCCTTGGCCTTGTCTGCCGCTGTGGTGCCGGCCGTGGAGGTCGCGGCGGCGCTGCTGCTGCTGCTGCTGCTGCTGTGTCCTGCAATGGCGCAGACACAGAAAGAGAAACGCTGCTCGCTGCTCGGCTGTGCGGACACGAACGTTGCTGTGTATGCGCGCACGGCCGTTTGTGTCGATCCGCTGCTGGATGAGCATCTCTGCACTCCGTGTAGCACTCAGAGGTTGTTTGGCCAACTTTTCCCAGGCTGGGCAATGCGGGATGATGACGGTGGGAAGCGTAGATGGTGGAACATAGTGCAGTATAACAATTATTAAATGTATTTTAGAACTGCTGCCTGCTGATGATGTCGCCCCGCAGCAGCCCGTGACGCCGGTGTCATTCACGGCGGTCGCCAATCCGAGCAACGGGCAGTCCCAACCCTGCCTAGCTTCCGAGATCTGGTGAAATTTTGTCAAAGGCAAGCAGGTGTCAGCAAGCACCTATTAGGGTGCTAAGGGCCGGTTCAGATAATCACCACTGGTGTTGACCGTGGCCAGGAATCGAAACTGGGCCGTTGGGTTCGTAACGCCGCGCGCTAACCACTATGCTACCGCTCCCCACAATTACGTGCTTACATAAACACACACACATACCTGCGAATTCCACGAATTGCACCATCGGTCTCACAACCACGCAAGCTCGCACGCACGTACGCTCACGAGGCGTGCACACAAGCACATGCATTCCAGTCTCACCGGACGTGGCGGCGGGGCTACGTGCCGCCCCCTGCCCGCCGGTACCCGGGGCAGGGCCGTCCCGTTTCCCCCGCACCTCCGGCGTCCTCGGTACGATCGCCGAGCCCGGCGACCGCGCCGTCCCCTTCTGTATTTGCTCTTTGATCGCGGACGGAGGAAACAAAAACAAGCGAGTGAGGTGACGTGACATGTCTCGCGCTCGGCTACAGCCGTCACGCGGCACATCAACCAGAACATAGCACATGCCATTGATCACCGCACACGCTAGCTCAGCACACACACATCACTGGCACACGCTAGCTCAGCACACACACATCACTGGCACAGCACATGGCAACTCGAAATGGCACACGCCAGTGACACGGAAACTCACAACGGCACAGGCCTCTGGCACGGTGACACAGCAACTAAACAGTGACGCAAGCCGCTGACACAGCACACAGGAACTAAAGGACAGCACATGCCACGGGCACAGCACACAGCAGCTGTACAGCAGCCAGGGTTAAGAACAGGGCCACCAGGCATTTACCCAATAAACCGGTTCCACCGTGGCTCAACTTACAAATTGTTTTCCAGCCGACGAGAGGTGAGATTTATGTCGTGGCGAGCGACTGATACCGCCACCTGCAGCGCCGGCTACGCTGCCGGGTCCTGCATTCCCGGTGGCCCGATCCGACCCCGCACCCCACAGCTCCCCACCGGCTCCATGGCTCGAGCCCAACAATGAGAGAGCCCCCAGCAAAAGGATCAGCGCCGACCCTCAAGGTCCCAGCGCCGCGAGTCTCAAGAAAGAACGGAGGACAGAGAACGCGCACGGCAAGCGAGAGAAAGAGAGAGGAAAAGACGGAGCTAACGGCGCAGGCAGTTCTTCGCGTTACCTTCACTCTCCCCCTCCTCCTCCTCCGAGTCAGGAACATCGCAGCCTATGAGAAAGCAGGGGGCAGCAGAGGGTAGCGGTGAGACGAGGGGTGGCGGTGAAGCAGAGGGCAGCGGCGGTGGAGGATTAGTGAAATCGTAAATGAGCGGAGGGTTTAGTGGCGTTTGCAGGTGACGGCGGGGGGCCGAGTCCCAATCCAGTGGCATTCGGTCGGTCAGGGAGCCCCGCGGCGTCGGCCGGCGCATGGCAGCGTCGGTAGCCGGGGTTACGAAGGTCAGGAGCCGGTAACCGTTTTCCAGTAGAATGCAAGTGATGAAATGCGCCAAACGTTTCATTTCCCCTCGCGCCTCAGCCAAAAGGGAAAGGTGAAGCCCTACAATTGCCTTGCACGCGCCACTGCTGGCAGAAGGGAGCTCTAGAGGGTATTTGGCCTACACTTCCACGGTAACCAGACGTCGTGGAAGAGGTGGGGCGTACCCACGCTTTACCCCAGCACATGCCACGTACCTATCGACTAACCGTGGTGTGCCCTTTTACACCGCTGTCTGGACGCACGTGCGGCGGGAGGGGGATTTAATAAACTCGCCCTATTGTGTAAACTGCCGAGCCGGGAGATGGAATGGAACTGGCGTTCTCTGGACTGCAAGGACAGCAGTGCGATGCTGACCACTCCACCACCGTGGCAGCTCTCTTCGTTTCTCAGTTTAAACGCTAAACACGCCGTGTTTGTTGCTAGAGACGTGTCCGTGTTTGCGTGTGCGCAAAACCGATGACCGGTTCATTTACTGTTTGTTCCACGAGATTTTAACAACGCTCGTCAGCAATGACCCTCCACTGTGTCGGCTGCCAGGGAAGTGCCGCCCCCGCTCAGTGGAGAGTGAGCTTTTCGCGACCCCACGGCCGCTCCCCCCCCATCCCTGGCTCGTGACAACGAGGTGCCTCACCTCGTTTCTTCTTCCGCAGCTCCCGCCGGGCAGCGCGAATCCGGCTGCGGATGTCGGCGTCGCGCTCCTCGTTCAACTGAGAGAGGGGGTGGTGGGATAGGTGGACACGAATGGGAGTGGGGGCGGTGTCATGTGACATGGGATTACCGATGCAATAATCACAACCGTCTCTTCTGCAGTCCGTAAATCACCTTGCGGTTGTATTATTATTGTTATTATTACAACACCGGTGGTTCGCGCCACCAGCGCCATGCCGTTCTCCACACTCACCATCTTATCCAGCACCTCCTCGTCCTCGATGTCTCCCAGCTCCAGCTGCACAGTCGAGCCTGCGCCGGGAGTCTCACCGCGCCCATTCACCTCCGTAGTGGCGGCAGCGGAGGCGGTGGTGGCATCGCACCCGTCGGGAGACCGGGGTCTCGTCAACATCGCGCCGTCAGCCTCGTCTGCCCCGAGGTCGCCCTGCGCCACCACCGTCACCGCCGGGTGAACGGGATCCTCTCCGGGAGCGGGGGGGTCGTCCTTCATCGTCCCGAACGCGGCCTCCCGTCCGTCGGCGGGGCCGGCCGTGCCCTCGACCTCGTCCCCCTTCCCTGCCCGTTCGTCGCGAGCTCCCGCGACGTCGCCATCTCGGCCTCCGTCCACCCCGTCGTTGGCCTGCGGAAGAGAGCAGCATGGGATGAGACGAGCGGGAGGCGTGCATCACTTTGGCCTCACGCCTTCGAGCCAGGCACCCTAGAAGAGTCGCGAGTCCCAGGCCCGAGCGGCGACGTGAGCAGCGACGCGGAGCGCCCGTTTACGCGCCGCCTGTTTACGTGGCGCAGGAATGTTCCGCTGCGTTCAATTCCTCGGCGAGGCACGAAGGCTCCTGCCCACACGGCACCTTGCCCCACGGCGGCCAGAAAAAAGGTCTGGGCTTTACAGAGGGGGACACCAGGCCCCATCCGGCCCACGATGGGCCCCGTGCCAGCTCATCCTCTGGATTTACGGGGACGGTGAGACGGAGCGCTCCGCCAGCCCACTCCCTGCACTCACTCAGCCCGAAGTTTTTACTGCGGCCGCTCCCAAAAGAGAGGATCTCTACTCCAGCCGCCAAGGCAAACACAGCCATAAATATAATGGGGAATTTCCTACAAACGTTCAGGGTTTTCTGGCAAACGAACTCTTCAAAATGATCGCTCGCAGAAAATATTCCGGAATGTTGAGCCGGAGAGAGAGAGACGGGGGCAGAAGGTTAATCTAAGCCACAGCGAACGCCAACCCGTGCCCGTCCTCGTCCACCGCGGTCGGCGACTGGTCCTGGTGGGTTGAGCCAACGTCGTCCAGCAGCGAGCGCGACCTCCCGCACCGACGTCGCCACCGCCCGTCAACATCGCCGCCGTCACGGCTATTCCGGGCCGTGTTGTGACAACGCCCACGTTGCCTGGTGCCACTAAGCTAAACGGCGCTATTTTTAATCAAAACAAGGGGACCTGAAACAAGAATCCTTGCGTCACCGTCGCGTCCTGAGCGCCGGTGGAGCGATTTGGTCTCCGAGCGCCAATGAGCGGCGCGGCGCCTTGGAAAGATGCCGCAGGGCATAGACGCAAAGCTGTCGGCCGCAAACGAGACGCAACCACGACGATTCCACGAAAGCGGTTATTGCCGGCCGCTGGCAATGACAGCGGTTTACGACGAAGGCAGTTGAAAAGCCGAAGGCGCTCGACTTTGACGGACGCGAGTCATGGAGGTGGCGCGAGATGCCGCGCGGGATTGGGAGCGGGGGTCTGGAGTCGCTGCCCAGAGCTCAGAACGAACGTGGGAACAACGTGGGAATGCGTACACGCACGCACGCACGCTTATAAGCGCTGTGTGTAGTTGCGCGTGTCAGGAAGGAAATTCCTCATAAATGCCGAGGGCAGTGCACGGCAGTGCAGGACCGCTCAGGGAATCTACGCCCCGCAGTTACCGCACATACGCGTAATTACCCCACGTATGGCATGGCCACCGTGCCACCGTGCCACAGTGCCACCACGCCACCGCGCCACCGCGCCACCACGCCACCACGCCACCACGCCACCACGCCACCACGCCACCACGCCACCACGCCACCACCCAGGGCTCGCGCGGAGGGGCAAGTGCAATGGAGGGCGAGCGTGGGGGACTCGGAGAAGCAGAGCTCCCCGTGGTCCAACGGCCTTGCTAGGGAGGGGGCGGCCCTGCTGACAAGCAGGAGATGAGCGGCGATCGCGCCGTCGCTCAACTCCCATGGCCACCACCTCTACCACGCCCCCCCGTGTGGTGGCGGAGGCGGTGGCCGTGGCCGTGGCCTTGAGCCACAGAAGCGCGGCTGTGCCGGGTGTTTGCGAAAAACAAGGGGGCGACTTTTATAAAACAAAAGGCGAGGGCTTACTGAGAGGCAGCCGAGTGACCTTCTCTGTTTGTTTGGCTCAAAGAGGGGCTCTGTGAGTGGCCTTTCCCAGATCCGCCAGCGCCACCATCAGCGCCGCCAAGCTTGTCTGCGTGCCAGCCCACTGGGGTGATGGGGTTGTTGATGGAGTGAGATGAGCTGCAGGGGTGATGGTCTGTGATGGGGGACGATGGGGGAGGTGGGGTGTTAGGGTGTGATGGGAGGTGATGGTATGTCATGGGAGAATAACAAGAGGTGCTGGTGGACGATGAGAAGGGTAAAGTAGGACTGGTGAAGTTGAAGGAGCGAGTGTGGATGGAGGAGTGAGTGATTCAAGTTTATTTTGTTGAATCAAGTGAGAACAAGAGATCAGGGGATGAGTCTCCTTTGCAGGAGTGACCAGGGGCATGAGTCTGCAAGTAGGGGGGGCAACAATGGCTGCTGTCTGCAGAATCCCAATTAAGGAACTTGCTCTGTCATTTTCAAAGTCAGAAAAATTGGGTATCTGACGCCGGCAGGAGTGAGCAAACCGAGCCGCAATGTCCACCTCCTCCAGCACACTGCGCTCTCACCCCACCGCGTGTTCTCTGTACGTCCCGCGTGCACGTGTGCGCGCGTGTGTTTGGGCACGCATGTGTGTACGTGCAGGTGTATTTTTGGCAGGTGTTAGCACGGTGACGGCGCGGCTTATTCGGAGAGACAGCGCCGGGCTTAGCGTGTTCCACGGGAGGGCCGCACTCTAACGCATTGTCGTTTCACATTACAAAGCACTGCAGATGTTTCACATCCACAGAGCCGAGAGGGTGGGGGGGGGGTTCCCCCTCCCCACAGGCCCCTTCCTCGGCCCAGGGTCACATTCACCGCTCCTAACAAATGCACATTGAACGTAAAATGAAATTCCTGCTCCTCTCCTGCTGTTGACTCAGTGGGAAAATACGAGAGTCCCAGTGGGCGGTGAGCCACGGAGTCCAAATAAATAAATTACTCACCCGCTCTCTCGCTCTCTGAAAACACATCTGATGGGGGTTTGTGCGCACACGCACAACTGCACATGCCGCTCTCTGCTCATGCCGCACGTACCAGCATGTATACAAAGATCGCCCAATACAGCCTAAAAAAGACTGATGGGGATAGTGCTGGGAGCGAGCACCTATGAAGGCTGAATGGCACACGAGGGGGTGGGTGGCCAGTGGGTGGCCCGTACCACTCCCCAGTGCTGATGCTTACACACTACTCACTTGAGGCTGAGTCGACCTAGGGGACGCCCAGGACCCGTTCCAATATTCGCCAATGTTATTGTTGATAGCACGAGGTAGTGCTAACCACTGTGCCACGATCCCCACGTGTACATGTGGCACTCTGCACAAGGACGGCAATGCGTAATAACAACGGTGGTGTTCATCTACCCAGAAAAGCCTTGCGGAGTCTCACGGCTACTGCAGAGGAAGGTCCTACTCTTTGGGAATGTCAGGCCAGTGAATGATGTTGGGATTGTTGTACGTGTGGGGAGAAAACTGGATGTGGAGAAAACCCGCACGACCGTTTCCCAACCGCTACGAAGGAGCCTCACAAAACTGTATGTGATCCACCAACCCTCGTCGGCAAACGTAGGATTCACAGGCGTGCATTGCCACCACGGCGACTGACTCAGCCGACCCCCCACTCCTGCCTCCCGCTCGCGTCACAGCCCCCCCCCAGTCCCTGCCGTGGGCGGTAGAAGCTTGGCACCGGCTACTCCGGCATCCGGCACAATTTCACCGCCGGGCAGCAAATGTGTTCCGACACCGCTTTCTCGGGGACGTTATGCAATGAGAGGCGTTTTCCAGTTATTTTTTTTTCCCAGAGAGAGTGGCGCTCGGTCACGCGCTCCGTGCTGCGCTCCATGCCGCACGCGCACCGCGGTTTGTTCCTGCAGCTGAGCCACCTCCCCCCACCCTGGCTGCTGCCCATCTCCAATCTCGAAGACCCAGAAAATATTTACGCAACCCGGCATACCACAATCGGTATACCCCCTCTGATAGTCACGTGCCTACTATTGTCTATCAGCCACCCACAAACTCGTGAGTGTGGAATTAAGCCTTGGATGCGCCGATTCATTGGTAGAACTCGATTCTGGCGTTGACAATAAATGCGATGAATCTTGCCAATGAGAATAATCTGTTCATTGAATTGGAGGTGACAAAAGCTTACAAACAAGACGGGACCAAGGAGAAGGTGGCCCCCGTTCTCATCCGCTGCCCCCGTTCTCCTCCGCTGCCCCTGTCGTCTGGAACTGCTTCCTCCCTGCCAGCCGTGCTGTCAACTCCCAACCAAGTCCAGGCCCAAGACCCTCCCCTTCTCTACCGCCTGTGACTCACTACCTCTCTCGCTCTCTGTACTGTATTAAATAAACACGCACTTCGTTTCTGCGCATCGTCTTGAGACGCGGTCTCAAGCGTTCTGTATCGAACAGAGAAATAAGAAAAAGGGGACCGTGACAAACGAGGAGAGAAACGAATCGATTGCCGAACCAAATCGCGGCCGAGAGCGGCGGCAACGATTTACCGCGTCGCCGGAGATATGGGAACACGGGCGGCACGTCGCACCGCTCGCCCGTTATCGAGCCGCGCGGATCACGGCGTCACAACCGGACACGGGGGGGGCCCTTAATTCTGGGCATCCCCGAGGTGCCACGAGGAGCCCGGGTGGGAGCGCCCGGACTCCGCGTGCCGGCGGCATTCCTGCCTCCTGCCGGAAAACTCATCGGCCCAGGCTCGGAAAAAGGCGTTCCTCCCAAGAGAGCGTGCGAAGTTCCACGAAGGGGTTCCGTCCTCCCCACGTGGGAGGTGGGAGCGGGCGGGCGAGCACGGGTGTAGGTGGTCACACGCTTCTACTCCGAAGAATGCATCCGACCCGATCCTTCGGGTGATGCTCCCCCCACCCTTGCGCAGCCCCCCCCCCTCCCCAACCTGGTGTGCGCGTCTGTGTTTGGCGGAGGTGTGTGTGTGTGTGTGTATCCCCGCGTGTTTGCACTTGCCCCAAGAGTGTATTAAGGCTACACGGGGGATCTTTGCATAGCCGCGTGTTGAGGTTGGGAGTACACGTGTCCATTGGTGCGTTTTCTTGAGACTGCGTGCGTGTAGGTTCGTGTAGGCTGGGTGTGCATTGGAATGGGTAGCGGTGGTGTAGTAGCGGTGAGCACGCTGCGCTATGAACCCAGCGACCAGAGTTCGATTCCCGCCCATGGTCAACACCAGTGATGATTATATGAACCGGTGCTGGGCCTCCC